TATGCTAATCAACTGCTTTTTTCTGATCTCATTTTGATTTGAGTTATCGGTTAGCAGATTCTGTGAAAAATTACATGAGTTTTTCACTCACCAACTACGTTGATGAATACCTCTTTAACAGTAACCTGAGGTAATCGTATTCTGTTCGTTAGTCAGACAAGTCGCACATGAATTTCTCAATCCGAAGATTTCATGTGGCACAGTTACATTTTTATGGTTACTGATATTCTGTTGGCCATATCACCCAGTATCTAATTTGTAAGTGGTTAATATGAACCTCTGGATTTAGTGACAGCTTTTTGAAGTTGAAGTTTTGACAAGCCGAAAGTCGCGTACTCAACAGGGTGACAGACACACATTAACACTTAGAGAGAAATGTGATATGGTTTCAAATCCAAGACTTGTCACCAACTGCTTTATATCATAAATATTTCCCTAAAGTTGTTTTTTTCTTATCTCTACTATTGTATTTGCTTCTCTATAGATAGTCAGTCAGCTACAATGTAGGGCCAGTCACTTCAATGGTAGTAATATACAAAAGAAAGATTGTGTATAAGGACAGTACAGGAACAAAAAATTAGTTGGTAGAAAGAAATATATAAAGCAATTCTAATCTCACAGTTTAAGAGAAGACAAAGCGTGTATACACCTACACCATTCTGATCGATCCTGAGCCATGTCACCAAGAGTCTCCAACCATTGATTACGATAGTCGCGCGGACCTCAACCAAGTTGTCTGCATCTACCAACATGGCTCAGATCAGGAGAACTTATGCCACGTTTTGGTTTGGCCGTCCCTAACTTTCTTCCAACCATCTCCAACACCGGTTAGCATTGCACATCGTGGTAATCGGTGTTCAGGCATATATAGCACGTGGCCCAACCATCTTAGTCGATGAAGATTCACAACCTCATCAACTGATTTACATCATTCTCCAATATCCTGCGTCTCACCACACCATTACTTGATTTCTTAATTCCAGTTTATTTTATTAGTATGAAGGGCTGTCTTGTGTTACCTACATCCGCTGCTTTTTCCATCTCTTTTGCTTTCGTTGCCCACCACTGCTCACAGTCGTTCCTTAGGATTTTGGTTAACCTATATCTGATTTTTTTCCGCTCTTTATCGTGTTCGGAGCCAGATGGGATAAGTTCACGAGAATCTACCAGTGTGATAGACTTAGTGGAAATCCATTAATTTTTCGTGACCTTTTGGTCCAAATCACTAATAGATGTCACTGCTGTTTGTATAGCTTTCCATGCAACATCTGGGTAAGCCTCGTTTTCAGAACTGCCTAAGTGTGACCTCAGTTGTTCCTGAAATCTGCTTTTGGCTTTTTCGTCACTGAGTTCAAGTCTAATGGGTCTTCTTAGTGTTGTTTTTATGTGTCCAATCGGGCGAAAGCAAATGCATGCTCGTATTAGGGCATGGTCGGGGTCCAAACTCCTATTCCAGAACGAGCGACAGTCTTCTACCGAGCCTTCCCAACGATGACTGATGGCAATATGGTCTATTTGGGCCCATCGTTGGTTTGGTGCAGGGAGTCACCATGTTAGACGATGTCTCTCCTTATGTTTAAAATTGGTGCTTGCTAAAAATAAACGATTGTTTGAGCGTAGTTGAGGCAGACGATCACCATTATCTGTTCGCTGAGCCAGGATACTGAAATACCCACCTGTCTTTCTGTTTTGTTTAAGCTACTTAATTGGGCATTAATGTCACCTGCTACGAGTACTACTATAACTTTTACCCAAACATTTCTAATAGCTTCACTCAGAATTCAGGTTAGTCTGTAAATTGAGGAAGTTTATCTTACACCGAACAGCGTTTTGCGATACTAAGTATTTTACAATGCTGTTTATGATTACTTGCCTATATTGTATTTCGATATTGGTCGTAAGTGGGAAGTGAATAAGATGCGATAACGCACATAATGAAGGTCAAAAAACGATGGAGTACTTTAAAAATGGGAAAGATTTCCTGATCTGCAAAAATAATGGGATTCATTTTATTTCTAGCACAACAAATTGTAACTGATTAACTGGCTAAGTCGATGAACCCAATTTAATATCACCATACACAATAGTATCATCCTAGAATATGTCAAAAATTTGTATAATGATCGCTTTTTATCAAACGAGTTATTGGGAAGTGTTTAGTTACTTCTGCTGAATGAAGTGTAGGAAATTACTCAGTTCATAAATAATACCAGAAACGAAGGAAAATTTCCCTAAAATGTTGGCTATTAAGTAATAGTAGACGACTTGAGCTGACTACTCCGTAACCATTCGACAATGAAAACCGCTGGCAATATTCGGTCAAGACACAGGTATGAAATCAGGACAACTTGGTGGTCGAGTTTACAGACTGAAATAACAAGGTCCCGAATAAGCTGTTTTGCATTATTATGAAAGTAGTAACTCCGAAGGTTTGGTGACTTTTGCCGGCTTATACGGAACTTCATGATTATTATAATACTACCGAAGGTAGTTGTCGGGCGAAATGCTAAGCTATCTGAAGAGCGGAAGCTAATTTAGCAAAATTTACCTAGAAGTTCTTGAATCAAAAACCCATCGCCCGTAATGAAAACGTTATATGAAACACAGTGGCGTTAGATAGTTATGGAGAGTAATTTAATCTTAATACAGAAGCTAACTGAAGAGCTGATCGGTAAGTCTGCCACCGTAGATAGAAGTAACGATGACCTCAGTTAAGGCTAGTGAAACACTAGTAAAGATAATATAAAGTACAGTAACAATCCACTTACCATTAGAAACCCAACCTAGTCATGAATCTAACACTTGTGATAGAGCGGCTGTGTTTCCATAGCTATCGAGGTTTAATATATACTAATCCGATGCATATTGATATACGGCACAGAAATAAGCGCTTGCTTCGATAAACCCATGAATTTAATTAGCAAGGATTTGAGAAGTAGGGTACACTGGCTAAACCAACTTTCATTCAATCGCCTGTGTAACATCATCCTACCTGGTTCATTTTCAATCTTTTCATGGTATTATAAGTTATTAAAAATGAAAGTGTGTTTCAAAGTCCTTATGTTATAACAATATGATAAGAACAACTCACCAATTAATGGACGAGAGACTACATTATCTCTTGGAGGTCTCCATCCTATGGTTTGGACTTATTTATTCAACAATCGTAGCATTGTCAGTATAGGGGATTGCTGGATGTGTAATTTTACACCAAGGATTGACTTCAGCTAGACAACCACTAGTAATCAGTAAGCACTGGTCCTCGTATGGGACTCCTCAAGAAGGCTTTCTGGTTTTGAGTAGTTACGTAACAGTCCGTGGTGTGGAGCCGCGTTCACTAACGTTTTCAATAGGATGTTGAGATCAACTACATAGTACTATTTCCCCACTCCCAATAAATGTACGTACTAAAAATGATCACGGTAAAAAAATTCCAGTCAGAAATAACGTTATGATTGGATTCTGTATATGTACGTTTTTATTTCATCAGTGAAAATTTTAAGAAAAGTAGCATTTGTGTTATTCCAACTACGTTATGTATCACGTAAAATATTGTTTAACAAATTGGATTTTACCTCGCAATTTGTATCCGTGGTGAATAGAATAATAAAGCCCGCTGAATTCGCTGTTTTGGACAGTGATGCATTTCGGGAGAAAGTCCTTTAGAACATTCATATCCCCATCTTAAAGTGAATCAATTTGACTGTTATTTGAGGTTTTGTATTTTTATTATATATGCATAAAATTGTGACGGCGAAAAAGGTTTTGGTTCAGGTGATAATGATAGAACGACAATTGTTATTCTTGAAGAACCATTAGCTACTTATTGCTTTTACTCAATAAACTTTGACATTCAGTCATAAATGCCTCATGAGACGATTCAGCTACTGGAATGGTATTGATTTCAAAAAACGTTCGAAGAGTATTTTGATCAATGTTGAGGAGTATCAGACTGTGAGGAAAAAATTATAAAACCTTTCCCAAAACAGCCCATTGCAACTTGGTCGATAGCATTCCATCTGAATTAAGGGCAACAAACCGCCCTAGTCTTGTAAAATTAATATGTTAATTTTTCAGAAAAGTACATGATAGAGATTTAGGACTGGGGAGCAGTGATAAGTTGTAAATTTGTATATTATATCCCATACTTCACTAGGCGATTCCATTTTCGTTCATTCAGAATTCTCACTCAGAAACCACTCCGAAATACCCAAACAGCAATTTTATTTCCAGTTTCATTAATGGTGAATTTAAACGTGTAGGGAAGTTTGACTAGTTAAACAGTTTTTTCTACATATCATTCTTAATTATCAAACTCCACTGTTTTCAACTTATCAAGTCTATGGAAAACTGTAATATGATGTATAATACGTGATCCCTCAAATCAAAAATCGTCTAGTTTCCTAGATTCATGTTATGTGCATTTATTACTGAAATGAAAGAATCGTCAATAAATCAACTTGTTATTCAGTGTAGGGGAAAGTTTATATAGATTCCCTCGTAAAATATCTGTGTTCTTATTGTATCGGATTTTTACATGAAGATAATGAAATAATCATAAAAATCTTTCGTTGTATCTTCCAGACAATTCTACCTAGTTTCTAACTTATTTATTTCAGGTAACAGTCTACTGAATCGTTCTTTAATTCAAAAACCCCACAAGTATTATATATCTCATTATCGTGATCGGTCTATTACAATATTGTTGTTTAATGTGCACAATATAAAATTGTTAATGAAACTGCTATTGAAGTTTTTATAACATCTGAAAGATTTTTGCACCAGGTGATAGAAGATAATGTTTGGAAAATTTGACCAAGTTTAACCATTTGGGTTTGGGGAATTATTCACTTTAAACTGCAAACCACATTATGTTTCCAATTAAACGTTATAAAATTCAACCAACCAATCATTCCGGTCAATACGAACTAACCAATCAAATTTCGACTGACAAAGGAATATTATTATATATTTTTATACCTTGGTTATGTGATTAATTTGTGCAAATATGAGTGGAAAACTTCATGGTTGTGTTTGCTTAGTAACGGGAGCCACGCGGGGCATTGGGAAAGGTATCGCGGTGGAGTTGGGTCAAGCAGGAGCCATTGTATACATTACTGGACGTACATTGAAATCTGATAGGAAAAATGTTGAGGGTTCTTTAGAGGAAACAGCAGAAACTATAAATAATTCTAATTGTGGAGGCGTAAGTTCTCAATTTAAATGGAATTTTCGGACACGTAATTTGGTGTTTTCACTTGATTACGTATACAATACTTTTGCATGTTGTTTATGAAGTACTTTTTAAAAAACGTTTGATACGTAACCTAAAAGCAAAAGCATCTGTGAAATTTAGTGGCGAATGAAATATGAACATATTGGAAGAGTAAGGCTAACACTAAGTATAAATCTACAAATTTGAGGACGATGATGCTCATCATGAGATAGATACTATCTGAAGTTGTTTCCTGCAATAAAAAATTACTGAGCAATAACAATCTATTATTATTATTATTTGTTTTATTTCCTTTGCTGTTTGAACTAACGAAATATGCGTTTTTTTAAAACATATCAAGTCCTCACTATCTCCAAGATCACGACACCTACAAATAAAACCATTCAAGTGTAATAGTGATTTAAGCATTTTTGTTTAATACAACCGTTTTTTGCGTAAATATTGAATTATAATTACGTTGACATCACAATTGTCTGATCACTTTTGCCGATGAACTTTTAAATTAAACTGTTAGGTGATCAGAAATGTTTGGTTTAAGTATATCTAAATCTAGGTATTACTATTGCCTGAAAATTTCAATTTCATACTGAATATACAGGTCGTTTACGTATTTGTAGAAGTGCATACCAGTGGCTGTCGATCATACAGACGATGATCAAATCTCCAAATTATTTGATCGGATTGAACGTGAACAACACGGACGTCTTGATATTCTAGTCAATAATGCTTTCAGTGCTGTTGGTTTTCTGTTGAACAATGTAGACAAGCCTTATTACGAGATTGAGAGTAAATCGCCAGGTGAAGCGTGGGATATAGTAAACAATGTTGGCTTAAGGAATAATTATATTTGCTCCGTTTTTGCGACAAAATTGATGATAAATTATCAGGAGAAGTTGAAAAAGGATGGTGTTAAAGATGATCATCTCAGGCCGGGACTAATAGTAAATGTTTCGTCAATTGGTGCAAGGATTTACTTTTTCAATGCAATTTATGGAGCAGGTAAGGCAAACGATCTACTCGGTTTTTAAATAATTTCAATTTAACAATCAATCGGAATTAGAAATGTTTGTAAACTTTTTTATGCGTAATAAAGTGAATATTAAAAATTAGGTTTACAACTAATGGCCTCGATTAATTGACCTGTAAGGTGTATCTAGTACATAGGCTTTCGCTGAACACTCATCTTGGATTGTATTTCCTTATTCTTGCATGTAGAGGGATAACCAAAATTCATACCACTATCTGAACAGGTGTCCTAGTGTTCATTACTCTCAATGATACCACAAGTAAAATATATCGAATCCTTTTAATATAAGAATTTAGTACTTCGCCGAGCAATAGTTCACACTAATTAATTTCCCTTATAGAAAATAGTATTTGGGGTTGTACACTGTGCTCAAACGTAATTTTATTCTAAAATAGTGCTATTATTTGTTGTAATTTTATATGATCTAATATCGGCTTAATAATGATCCCTTCGTACTCCAAAAACACTGTATCCAGAACTTCTATTTCTCGTTTCTGTTCGGTTTATTTATTTAACAATTAACCGTCTGATCTATTCATAAATAATAATAAGGGATTCATTTGTTGCTCTGCTGAAAGATGCTTCTAATTACCAGTGCATTAATGACTAAGAATAACACGTGGAAATGATATATTTGATAAAAGACCTCTCCACGAATTTAATTTCTAAATTTATGCAACTAAAAGTGAATGATTTATTTTGTTTTCCTGTACATTTGAATTATATTCACGTTTTTATAATTGTAATGAATGAAAATTACTTAACTTACAACTAACATGCTGACTATTTTCGGATGATAAATTTCATTTGAGGAATAAAACATTCATTTAGATACGAGCAAGCAATTTATAATAAAATGTGGCTCGGAACTAACTCTATGTTTAATAGTTGACAAAAAAGAATGAAACTCACATTACCCAGGCCATCAGTTACAACTTTGCAAATTAGGCTAGTGATCTAACCACCATGCTAAGTTTTTTCAAATATGCACCAGATAAATAGAATATTTATTTAGATAAGAAAATTTATTATTTTGCCTAGAATAGTATCAGTGTAACTATACAAGCTAATCGAAACTCACTACTGTTTTCCTCTTTCTCAATGCCACCAATAAGTTGTTTACTGACTGGTTTATAAAGCAGTGTTTTTCGCATGATCAATAGGCACTGAGTATATTGGTTTTGGTAAATCATTGAAGTTCTCGTTTTAATCTGGATATATATAGGTCTTAAGAAATAATTCATAAGAAGAAAGATGTGTGACACTGTAAATCAAAACTCTATAAATAATGGTCTGTACGATTTGATGGTAATTCCAAACCATAGTTTATTAATGGTAGACGATGAACGTAACTGGACACTTATCCAAATAATTAGCACCATGTTTCATACCATATCTGGGACAGCCTTTCTACTTGTTTGGAGAAGAGCTCAAATATATTCTCTTAATCTCATGGTCAATGGGAGTTTATATTATATTCTTATTTTACTTTTAATATGATAGGTAAAGCTGCATTGGACCGTATGACGTGTGACATGGCTTACGATTTAAAACGGACTAATACTAATATATGCATCTTCAGTTTATGGCCAGGTCCAGTCCGTACGGAAACTGTAGTTGCAGAAGCTACTGATGGGACCCTGAAACTTGGCGAAAAGATAGCTTTTCATTATGATACCGGTATGTTGATAAGAGACTAATTAATCTTGTAATTGTTTATTTCCTGTATGTATACACTAATTCAGTGATGGATTTGTCTATCTACTGTTCTTCAGCGTAACTAACAATTTCAGAGCAGTTTATCACCAATGTTACAATCTTTCAAAGCTGTAGTTTTGAAAATTAAATTAACGTGTTGAACTATTTTATAGTGTTTCGATCTTAATTATAGGCTGGTCTGATAATCCACTCAATGGTATGTGTGAAATCTAGTGTTTTCATGCAGTAACAAAGCCATTCGTCTCACTGAATAAAGAATATCTACTCATTGAGTGTTTGCGTAGAAAATAATGTAGTTGGGATCTGTGGAGGCAACTGTGTTATATCTTATCAGATACTGTCAATAATATTGGCTGCTGTTTGTGATTTATCGAGATTTGTTTGGACATATGGATTGTCAGCAACTAGAAGCCTACTCATTTATACCTCTCTCGTTTTCTTAGAAATTTTAGTTCTTTCATTGTTGACTGTTATTAAGTTATTTCCAAACAACTTCAAATGGTAACAGTTGATGATGACGTCTACTTTCGAAGTGATCAAATTTTCAGAAACCATTCCAACGACTTACTTTTCAATACTGCAGTGATTATAAGCGTTTTGGTCATTTAACGATGTTTAATACTGATTGTAGAAACTGCTTGTTGCTTTCTCATAATAGAAACAGGTAATTTGCAACATTTTATCCAGTCTGATCCATTAGCTATGAAAGACTGTTTAATCTTAAAATTTTACATTTGATCTAGTTTTGAATTCTAACAGGTCACGTTTAATATTAAATGGAAATGGTTGCAAACACATGACGTTTTCTTTTATCTACATTACCTAAGCTAAAATAAAACTTTGATGTATCATACCTCATTACAAACTCACTGTTTATACCTTAAAACTGTTGATAATGTAAGGTAATATTTAGATATTAATGTATAACTCGGTAATTAGGTTATTTCAGAATGGTCAGTAATCAAATTTAGAAATCAAATTACTCAGTTGTCAAAAAGATCTGTTAGTAAAGTTCCTATCGATCCTGCAGTAGCTAAACAATTTATAATCTAGTCCACTAGCGCTGATTTGGTTGTGGATGCAAGGGCATGGAAACCAGATAAGATTTATTAAAATCTTATCAGAATTATGTTTAATCATCTTCCTCATACCACTATGTCTATGTTATAAATAGAAAGAAACACTAAACTGAAACAGTTTTGGGAGTTCTGTTCAAGTCCATGTATGACTAGTGCTTTATGGAATGGCCAACGCACTTGACCAGATTCTGTGTACTCTTTGACAGTGGCTTAGTGGTTAAAGCACTCCATCTTCTACTAATAAATCCCAGATTCGAGCACAAATTCATGTACATTGATTTGGGCAGCATTTGTTTGAAATATCTTGTGGTACCGGTTGTAACCATTCTGTATATACATTCATTTAAACTACTATATCTTTCGAATCCACATTATTGCAACTTCTGTGAATATTAGTGTCAAAGAGCACCTTTAGTTCGAACAATAAATTATTAAAAATATCTAAATGTTAAGGTCGAAGATTATGTCCAGAACGTCTTTGAGTACGAACTTGTGACCAATCGAACCCGTTTTCCTGGTATATCTAACATTTCGAAAAAAATCAAACTTTTACGGGAAACGAACTTGTCTTGCTTAAACACTTACATGATGGATCGTTTTTACATTTTTCGTGGTAGTTTTCAAACTACAGATGAGGATTCGCTTAATTTGTACATGACAAAACATAATTTGGAAAAAACTCGGTTGTGTACTAACAAATGTTCCGATTCGCTAAAACCTATCGATTACATTATATTAACTCGCATGATTTTATTCTTATGGGATATCATTGTACAATCGTTATGGATTCGGCTGAGCCAGAGACTCTGAGTTTATATACTGTAATACTGTGTTTTTCATGATCGACACTACGTAAAATTCACCCGTTGCCAAACTGCTAATCAGAATCCTAGAAAAAGCATCGGTGTATTTCCTCCTTTTACCTCTTCCTACCTACAAAATTTCTTGTCAGTTTATAAATATGAATTGAAATCATTAATCTTATTTATTAGTATAGGGTTGTGGAGATTACTGAGTTTATGAACTGATCAATATTAGACCACCATTGAATACATGGAATCTCGGAGTTCTAGTGAGAAACCGTGACCAGTGAATCTTATTTATATTCCGTTTCTAGTAAACTCATTGGATATTCAGTTCTTTCCAAATAGCACACCGATCAAGAATAATTTTTATATTTAGACGGATTTCCCTATGACATGTAGTTTTACTTTCTCTTGGGTGTCATACCAAATTTTTCCCACTTAACGACGAACCTTCATGGGTTAAATCGTCTGCTGCAAAAGATATATTATTACAAACGCCCTATATACTGTTCGAATTTCCAACAATCGTAATTTATAGAATAATAGTTGAAATAACTTGTCAATTATTAAACCTTATTCGATTACGTTCTCATTTCCATATCTTTCTTCAAACGTCCATTAAATATTGTTTTTCTCCCTTTTTCTAACACTGACAGCGGAATCACCTCAGTTATCTGGTAAAGTAATTATTGCGATAGCAAACGAACAACGTGATAAGCTACTTTCAAGAAATGGTCAAGTCATTCTAACTTGTGATATAGCTGACGAATATAGTATTGAAGAAATAGATGGTAGAAAACCAATTAATTTACGTTCATTACAATTAGCTGTGAAAACTCAGTGTTCTTTACTTGGTTATCTTATCCCTGGTTTTATTCGTATTCCGTTGAGTTTGGTAACATACATTCTTCGTCGTCAATAGATTGAAAGTGAACAGATTAAAATATTCGATTAACTATTTATACAGTAAACTTATTATTGCATATTTTCACTTCTACAGTGTCTAACAGTATTTTTTCCTAAATTGCGCTTAATATCATTACTTTTTTGGATGCTGTTTCACAATATATTTAATGGTCAGAATAACTGGTTATTCTCACTGCTGTTAATTTTATTTCACAGTTTGAAATGTAAATGTTCTCACGAGGTATGTAAATATTATTGATCTAAGTGTTTCGTCGGTGATAAACCCAGTCAACTTATATTTTACCTAATGGGTAATTAAAGCATAACGTATTACGGTTTCATAAAGCGACCTATTAAAATTTATTTATTTATTATTTATTTCAACACAGATATTGTTACAAAGAGGCACCAAATACATATGCGCCACACAAATCTCATTTGATATGTGTGAGGGCTGTGATACTGCCCGGGTGCCCAAACCGAAGCAAGTGACTTGCACAGTGAATCAAAGAAATATCTTAAATTCATCTTGCGTATTGGATTCGTTGCTAATATTAATGTATCCGTCCCAATAAGTCCATAAACTCATCAAATATGACTGAATACATTAGAGCTCTTCATGATGATCCAATAAATATTCGAGGCATGTTTCAGTCTGTTACACAAAATGACTAAAATTTCTCAAACAATCGAAGTGTGAGATTCACTAAATCACCCATTGATGGGAAAAAAGGTAAAGATAAAATTAATGTTTTCTTAAGGAAACATAAACTTTCCCCGAATAAAGGAAGCGCTATTTGAATATATATTTGAGATTACAAACAGTTGGTTTGACGCATTCATCTTTTTTCAATGATAAATAGCTTATTGTATGAACTTCCCCTTTACAATGAAGCTTCAGCACCAGTCTATATTTCCTATATTGATTTTCGTCGTTTGACCTTTAACATATCCTTTTCTCTTGACCCCTTATCCTTTTCATTCTTGTTTGCTTCATAATACTTCGTCTGGACATTTATGGCTGGTGTTGTAAGTACATCGCATGACCCAGACAATTCATATTTTATGGAAACTTACTATGACAACCTAATGTAATGCTTAGAAATATGACAAATTTGTCAGTGTTGTGACTTGAGCTAAATGATGGTTAGTGCTATTGGTACGTTTGTTTGCTATGACTGACTGATAACTGCTATCTGCCACTCATTACAATGTGACGCAACTATCGGCCCAAGGAAGAAAACAGGACTGTAGGAGAAGACTGATTTATTCATCAATCTGTAATTAAACGACATTCATAAAAACGATAATGATTGATATATCAATTTAAATGTTCGGCCAAATAGAGACTGGTTCCTAATATTGGCAACCGAAAAACTCAAATTTTCAGGTGCCCCCCTGAGAGGCTTCAGGGTTGTGTATTCTATTGGGCGGCCTGCTTGAGCATCTGGGCTACCTGTTCCTGTCATCTAAATATTTCAACAAGTTATCTATGTTTGTTTGTTTTAATATATCATTATGTATATTAATCGCATAACCCATCCTAGTGCATTTCTGAAATGTTTACAACCTTTCGTTGTCAAAGTTACAAAAAGCTCATTAAAAGATAATGTTGTCGCTGGCAATATGCAGAGAAAAGAATATACATTATTCAGATGTTTATTTACTGGACTGCTAACATCTAACTGGCTATCACTCAATATTTATCGTCAGGATCGACCAAGAAGAAAGAAACGGAAACTTTTTGAAATACTTTGTGCTGAGAATTCTATATTGTACCGAAAATATAATATTGAATAAAGCTTATAATAAATAAAAAAAATATTCTCGGTAAGGTCGTATATGTGCACTTCTGAGGAGTTGTATATAAGGATGGAAAAGTTATCAAGTTTTTCCTAGTTTCTAATCATTGTCTAATTGAAGTCTGTCAAGGATTAGATATACGAATTATTGAAACTGCACAAGAATTATTTAGCACACCATCAAATGTATTTGGAAACTACTGCTTGCTTAAAGTAAAAGTTATACTACTCTAACGAATGATGGGACAAATTTCTCCTCTGTCAGTTTAATAGAAACTTTTTAAGTTACTTGTTTTTAACATTTTCCATTTATATTTTACATCGAAGACTGCCTCAAACTAGATAATCGTTGAAAATCAATTATTATTGGACAGTTATTTGGTTCTAGTATAGTTCTCAGGAGTAAGTATTTACTATGCTTCTATGCACCGGAACCATGGCCTTGCTAAGTGTGTGCTACCTTTCAACTTTATGAGTAGTCTCAATCAAATGTTTCTCAATGGAGGATGATGTCTGTCTATCCTGTGATCTTATTCGACCATTGGAATTCATTTGTTTCTGCAGCCATTTTGGTATGTGTTAATCCACCCTTAATTGCAAATCACAACTGCTCCTTTCTATGTACGTGTTTCCGCACATACATATAGATTGATGGACACAATGGAATGTGACACAATCGCTTACGTTTGGGCTTTTGGTAAAACATAGACCTTGTCTTTTCAATAATGAGAAGTTGGGCTGCATATAGTAAACATTAACAATTTGGAAAGTAACATAATTTTCACATTGATCAATTAAGCAGAATTACTTAACGTACAACACGAACAGGAATGTACACAAGTTCCATAGAACAGCTAAGAAGGAAAGGTCAATAACTTAGACTTTACTGACACGACGAATAAACTGTTTAATCTCTCCACCAGTTGTTCTTGAAAATTAGTTTTAATTTCTAAAATCAATTATCTTTGATCCCTGTAAAAATGAGTTAAACTCTTCTTAAAATGTAACTCTGGTAAAAACGTTAATAACAGATGTAACTGTTAACCTTATTATCAAATTTTCTACACTCTGTTTTAATTCAATATATGATACTGAAAGTAAACAATTTTGATTAACATTATTGAAACTTTTTTTGTTTTATTTATTATTTTTTGCGAAACTTGATTATGTGATATACTAGCGCAAGAAATTTCGAACAATCTGATCACACATATACTTGTTGAGAACATTTATATACACAAAAATGGTTGCAGAAACAAATGAATTCCAATGGTCGAATAAGATCACAGGATAGACAGACATCATCCTCCATTGCGAAACATTTGATTGAGACGGGTCATAAGGTTGACGTCAAATCATCATTTGTTGTGTTGTACAAAAGCCTTCAAGGACGTATACTAAGGTTTATTGAAGCCTTGGCTATACGAAAATTGAAACCCCCTTTATGTGTTCAAAAATAATTTGCCCTTACACTTAACCTATCCTTTGTTATTGTTTACTCTTAACCTGTCTAGTTGACCTTTTAATTTTCAGATATAAATGTTCTTAACAAGTATATGTGTGATCATATTGTTCGAAATGTATTGCACTAATATATTATCACATAGTTCTGATAATCTTCGTCTTCTTATTACACTATTGGAATTTATGAAAGGGACTAATTGCTCTAAATTTAATTATCTTATGAACTTAGCGAACGTCAGGAATTTTATCTTAATGTTAATATTATGCTATCTTGATGTTACTTACTTACTTACACCTGAGCAGTTGTTATTCATCCTTTTCATATCTGCTTCTATTTTCCGACGTAATATGTTCTTTGGCCCTCATCTTTTCCTCTTCACTTCAGGACTCCATGTTGGGGCTTGCCTCGTGATGCAGTCTGATGATTTGCGTAATGTATGTCCTATCCATTTCCATCATCTTTTCCTGATTTCCTCCTCAACTAGAAGCTGGTTTGTCTTTTCCCATAGTAGGTTGTTACTGAGGGTTTCCGGCCAACGGACACTGAGTATCTTGCGTAGACAATTGTTTATAAATGTCTGTATCTTTTTGGTGATGGTTGTAGTTCTCCACGTTTCAAATCCATACAGTAGAACTGTCTTGATATACGTATTAAAGATTCTGACCTTAATATCAGTTAACAGTTGTTTTGAGTTTCATATGTTCTTCAATGTGGTTGTTACTTTGCTAGTCCTTTACATCCTCATTCGGTCCTCCTTTTCATCGATGATGCTTCCCAGGTACATGAAAAATTCCACATCTTCCAGGGTTTCTCCATCAAGTTTAATTGGGTTGATGTTCTCCGTATTGTATTTGGGACTGTTGTTTCTTCCCTTGTGTACGTTGAAACCTGCTGATGCAGAGGATTCTGCTACATCGGTTGTCTCGACCTGCAAAGTGAAATTTCCCACAGGAAATACATTTACTGAACTTATGCTCACCTTTGTTTACTGCTCTAAAATCCTTTGTTGGATCACTTTTCATATTTCCACGAGAATAGGAACTACTATCATCACGACGACTAAGCAAAGTATTAGAGATTTTTATTGACTAAAAATCAAGTACATTCGCTCCTTAGTATTCAAAACATGCTACTTTTATTCTTGGAGTGAACATTTTGGTTACTGAATTCATTCCCTCTCTAAATTCGGAATGCTTATACCGGCAATCAACCAATCACGAAGCTGAGTTCTCGATTAGTCTTCGAAATTGCACTTCACGGTTTGTTTATCTAGTTCAAATATAAACTCTTTAGCTTTCTGTTAATTTTGTCACGTCATTTTATGGGACTTCGATCTTCTTCTGCATTCAGAGCTAGTATACTTCACATGACTAACTAGTAATCTCTTGAGGGATTCATATGGCAATTGAATTGGTTACTCTGGAAAAGCCAGAACTGTCTTGACGTTCGTACTGAAGATTCTGACTTTGATATTGGTTGAAAGTTGTTTTGAGTTCCATATGTTCTTCAATTGAAGGGATGCGACCCTCGCTTTGCCAATCCTCGCCTTTACGTCTGCATCTGAACTCCCTTGTTTATCGATGATGCTTCCCAGGTATCTGAAGGATTCTACATCTTCCAGAGTTTCGCCATCAAGAGTCATTGGATTGCTGTTCTCCGTGTTGTATTTAAGGACCTTGGTTTTCCCTTTGTGTATGTTGAGGCCTACTGATGCAGAGACTGCTGCTACACTGACTGTCTTTATCTGCATTTGTTCGTGTGTATGCGACATGTGGGCTTGGTCATCTGCGAAGTTCAAATCGTCTAATTGATTTTGAGCTGTCCATTGTATTCCGTGTTTTCCTTCAGATGTTGAGGTCTTCATAATCCAGTCGACCACCAGAAGAAACAGGAAGGGATAGAGTAGACAGCCTCGTCTGACTCCGGT